CTACTAAAAATACAAAAATTAGCTGGGCATGGTGGCGCGTGCCTGTAATCCCAGCTACTCAGGAGGCTGAGGCAGGAGAATTGCCTGAACCCAGGAGGCGGAGGTTGTGGTGAGCCGAGATCGCGCCATTGCACTCCAGCCTGGGTAACAAGAGCGAAACTCCGTCTCAAGAAAAAAAAAAATTTTTGTTTTTATCGAGATGGAGTTTCACTCTTATTGCCCAGGCTGGAGTACAATGGCACAGTTTCAGCTCACTGTAGCCGCCACCTCCCATGTTCAAGCAATTCTCCTGTCTCAGCCTTTGGAGTAGCTGGGATTACAAGCATGTGCCACCATGCCCAGCTAATTTTGTATTTTTAGTAGAGATGGGGTTTCTCCATGTTGGTCAGGCTGGTCTCGAACTCCTGACTTCAGGTGATCCACCCACCTTGACCCTCCCAAAGTGCTAGGATTACAGGCATGAGCCACCGCGCCCAGCCATAAGTTGGCTTTTTTTTTTTTGAGACAGGGTCTCACTTTGTCACCCAGGCTGAAGTGCAGCTGCATGATCACAGCTCACTTTAACCTCAATCTCCTGGGCTCAAGCAATCCTCCTGCCTCAGCCTCCTGAGTAGCTAGGACTACAGTTGTATACCACTGCCCCTCACCATAATCTTGTGTCTACTTCTCTTCACTCAATACCATCCTGTACCCCCAGGATTTAATATCAATGACTATCTGGGTCAGCTGGGCGACGTGGCTCACACCTGTAATCCCAGCACTTTGGGAGGTTGAGGCAGGCGGATCACGAGGTCAAGAGAGCAAGACCACCCTGGCCAAGAGGGTGAAACCCCATCTCTACTAAAAATACAAAACTTAGCTGGCTGTGGTGGCATGCACCTGTAGTCTCAGCTACTTGGGAGGCTGAAACAGAAGAATCGCTTGAACTCAAGAGGCGGTGGTTGCGGTGAGCCGAGATGGCGCCACCGCACTCAAGTCCACGCCCTCAGTGGGGGTTATTAACACGTCCACACACACTGACCACTGCCAATTAGCCTCTGCTGCCACCTGCTGTTGTCTTGAACCCTCCACAATGGAGGGGCCTCCTGTTGCTCCTGCCTCCCCTGCAGGGCTGAATTTGCAAGATGACAGCAGTGAAGACCGCCCTGACTAGGGGGTCGGCGTCACAAAGACCAGTTTTGTTGTTGTTGTTGTTTTTTGGTTTTGGGTTTTTTTTGTAGAGACAGGGTTTTGTGGTGTTGCCCAAGCTGGGCCTTTTATTTATTTGCTTATCTATTTTAAAAGTAACTGTGCCTGGAATAAGTTGATTTTTTTTTTTTTTTTTTTTTTTCCAGATGGAATCTTGCTCTGTCACCCAGTCTGGAGTGCTGCAGTGGCGAGATCTCGTCTCACTGCAGCCTCCGCCTCCTAGGCTTAAGTAATTCTCCTGCCTCAGCCTCCCGAGTAACTGGGATTACAGGCATGCGCCACTGCACCTGGCTCATTTTTTTTTTAAGACAGGGGTTTCATCATGTTGGTCAGGCTCGTCTTGAACTCCCGACCTCAGGTGATCCGCCCGCCTTGGCCTCCAGAGTGCTTGGATTACAGGCGTGAGCCACCATGCCCAGCCTGCACCTAGCTAATTTTTGTATTTTTAGTAGACATGGGGTTTCACCATGCTGGTCAGGCTGGTCTGCCCGCCTCAGCCTCCCAAAGTGCTGGGATTACAGGTGTGAGCCACTGCACCCCACCAACTCTTTAAAAAATATATATATATATATATATATATATGTATATTTATTTAAGTAGAGATGGGGTCTTTCTGTGTTGCCCAGGCTGGTCTTGAAACCTGAATTGCTTGAACTGTGCTCAAGCAGTCTTCCTCTTGTGCTTCCTAAAGTGTTGGGATTACAGGCATGGCCACTGTACCCGGCCAGAAGTTGACTTTTAATAGTACCTTCCTTTAACAGCCAGCTCACAAAAGTCCTGCAACGAAACAGTCTGTACCCCCAGGTCAGAGCTGGGTTGGACCCACCTGAATGCAAATCTTTTTGCTACCACTTAGGAAGCTGTGCAGCCCTGGGCAGTTCACTTAACGTCCCTGAGCCTTGGCGTTCTCATCTGTAAAATGGGCTTCCATAAACACCCGGCACAGGCCAGGCAGTTTAGAATATGCTTAGTAAATGGTGATTATCGTCATCATTTGTTCAGGGACATTATCGTGAAGGCAGAATGTTCTGGCACAAAGACATGTCTGTGGGGCAGGCACAGTGGACTTACTGTGTGAGGCAGGATGGTACAGGGCTGGGAGACAGAACTGCTTTTAGTCCTCAACAGTCCTCCCATTGTCTGACACTTGGGCGTGTTCCACAGTTTGGCTTATTAGTTACTGAAAAAAAAAGAAAATTAGTTACTGCAGCCCCAGACATCTTCTAGCCTGCAGCTTTTTGTCTCCAGTTGGAATTCTCTTCTTGTGATCACTTTCCCAAGGGGAGGCGGACTGGGTCAGAGGTGCAAATATTTCTGTGCCCTGCTGTGTTCCAGAGGGCCCTGCCAGTTTCTGACGCCAGGCGCATGAATTTTGCAGCAGGAACCACAACTGCTGTTTGTTAAGTGCTGTTCCATTTACAAAGCACTTGCCCCTGTGATGCCCAGCACCCCTTTGGAGGTAGGCGCTCCTTGGATTCCGCTTTCACAGGAGTCCGGAGAAACTCGGTGGGTGGTTGAGTGGTTTGCCTGAAGGCCCACAGCTGTAGGGTGAAATCGCGAGCCTCTGGCGGGACTGACCGAGCCAGGCCCTGTTGACCTGCAGTAGCTCCACCCGTCCTCAAATACCTGCATGAGATAAGTGCCGCGGACATCCCATATTAGAGATGGGGAAACTGAGGCACCAAGCACTGAACTAGCCTGCCCAGAACGTTGGAGATGGAGTCTAGACGCAGGCATCTGGCTGCTACCTCTACCCTTAGCCACTGCACTGACTCGGAAGTGGGCTCTCTGGCTCATGTCTGCAGCTAATTTTGCCCTGGTGCCAATCTGCCTCCCTGGACTTCAGTTTCAGGGCCTGATGCTGTCCCTGCTGCCCTCCGGCTGACTGCGTCTCCATCTCCCTACAGGCACCGGGAGCCTGGCCGCTGCAGTGGAGACGGCCTCGGGACGCCAGGCCCTGGTGGTGGGCAAGCCCAGCCCCTACATGTTCGAGTGCATCACGGAGAACTTCAGCATGGACCCCGCACGCACGCTCATGGTGGGTGACCGCCTGGAGACCGACATCCTCTTCGGCCACCGCTGCGGCATGACCACCGTGCTCACACTCACAGGAGTCTCCCGCCTAGAAGAGGCCCAGGCCTACCTGGCAGCCGGCCAGCACGACCTCGTGCCCCATTACTATGTGGAGAGCATCGCAGACTTGATGGAGGGGTTGGAGGACTGAGCCCACTGCACCTGCAGCCACAGGCCCACCCCTCCCCGCTCCCTGATCCCGTAGGTGGAGGCGATGGGTCACAAGCTGTGTCAGGCACCACCGGCTCCTTCACCCAGTTCTGCACCGGGGTGGGGCTCGGACCCAGGGAAGGTTTGAGAGCCCTTGCAGTCCCCTCCCAGCAGTGGCCGGGCATTCTTTGCTATCCCAGAAGCTGGTCTCCTACGGGTTCATCTTGGCCTGATCCAGCCAGGTGGCCTTATTTCCTGCCCTGTCACCTCTCCTCCTTGAAATCTGGGCTCTGGTGCCCCCTGAAGATTTTCTCCAGCCCTGAGCACTTAGTTTTCTCCTGCTTCCCTGGGGCTTCTAGAGCTCTCCCCGCCCCTCAGGTCCTGGCCCTTGGGTCCTTGTTAACGAGAGGTCTAGGTAACCACAACCCTTATTGTCCTGAGTGGACCAATCCAAAGGCAAAGTGACAGTGACTCATTGATGTTGAGTCCTGTAGGGTACCAATTTAGGCTCCTAAGTAATGTGACCCTTTCATGTCCTGGAGCCTGAGTGGACCAATCTGAAGCCTCAGTGACAGTGACCCTCACATGTCCTAGGTCCCTGGGTGGACCCATTGGGACCCCAAGTATTAGTGATTCAGTGAGTGATCTTTTAGATCCTCAACAGAACAATCCAGAAGTCTGCAAGACAGTGGCCCTTTGATAATCTGGGTGTGACAGGACCAGCTAGGGGTCCAGGTTTTTTTCAGTCAGTAAATAAGAGTGGTCCAGGCCGGGCGCTGTGGCTCACGCCTATAATCCCAGCACTTTGGGAGGCCGAGGCGGGTGGATCACGAGGTCAAGAGATCGAGACCATCCNGGGTGGATCACGAGGTCAAGAGATCGAGACCATCCGGTCAACACGGTGAAACCCCGTCTCTACTAAAAATACAAAAAATTAGCTGGGCCTGGTGGTGTACGCCTGTAATCCCAGCTACTCGGGAGGCTGAGGCAGGAGAATTGCTTGAACCCAGGAGACGGAGGTTGCGGTGAGCCGAGATCGAGCCATTGCACTCCAGCCTGGGTAACAAGAGTGAAACTCCGTCTCAAAAAATAAATAAATAAATAAATAGAATAAGAGTGGTCCACGTCCTGAAGACACCCCTCCTCCATAAAGACTGATGCTCTGGGGCTTCTGTGGCCTAGCCCCGCCCTTTCCTGGTCATGGCACCCGTCCAGTGTTGATGGCCACAGCTGGGAATGGGGGCTTTTGTGTCCCCCCTCGAGGTCAGTGTTTGCATTACCACCCCTCTCCCATGCCCACTCCCGGCTATTTATTTATTACTGTGTGCCAGTGATGGTGGGTGGGGGCTGGGCCTTCCCCACCACCCCCACCCCTGTTGTGACCTGTCCTCCCGTACTTAATAAATTGCGAGTGGGAGTGTTCACGTGTTCGAGTCTGTGCTTGGGGAGGGAGGCAGACCCCCTGTCGGAACCTGCTCTCCCTGGAGCTGGCCCACCACATTCTTCCCTGCATGAAATGACCCATTCCTATTCCACAGTGTCTTCCGTGTACGGTGATACCTTGAGTCAAGAGTGCTTTATACGTTGCTGAGTCTTTGTATACTGACTGACTGCAGTGCTTTGGAAAACCTGGCAGGTTTGAATTATTCCTTTACAACAGGAAATTGGGGGTCAGAAGTGTGATGTTAACTTACCGAGGGTGCACAGCTGGACAGTGCTCGCCTTATGCGGGATTTGAACATGTGTTGGCTGACTGTAGGACGCCGGAGACACTGAGAGGGAGACGGGAAGATGGAAGATGGAAGAGGAGGTCTCAAACCTCAGGAAGCCCAGGGGAGATGCTCCTTTTTTTTTTTTTTTTTTTTTTTTTTTTTTTTTTGATGCTCCTTTTTTTTTTTTTTTTTTTTTTTTTTTTTTTTTTTTTTTTTTTTTTTTTTTTTTGTTTTGAGGATTTTTAGTAGAGATAGGGTTTCACCATGTTGGCCAGGCTGGACTCAAACTCCTGAATCATGATCCACCTGCCTTGGCCTCCCAAAGTGCTGGGATTACAGGTGTGAGCCACCACATCAGGCGCTCTTTGTTTTTCTTTTTTTTGAGACGGAGCAAGAGAGTACAGTGGTGTGATCTTGGCTCACTGTAACCTCCACCTCCGGGTTCAAGTGATTCTCCTGTCTCAGCCTCCCGAGTAGCTGGGATGACAGGCACCTGCCATCACACCTGGTTAATTTTTGTATTTTGAGTAGAGGTGGGGTTTCACCATGTTGACCAGGCTAGTCTCAAACTCCTGACCTCAAGTGTTTGGCCTCCCAAAGTGCTGGGATTACAGCGGTGACCCACTGTCCTTGGCCTCTGAGCACTAAGTCCTAATGAGTGTAAAGCTTGAGTGTGAACCAATCACAGTAATTTGAGTCTTCAGGGTCAGTGATTGGCTACTCTTCTGACCAATGAAACATGAAGGGAGTTCTGGTAATGTTTGCCTCACTTGTAAAGGACATAGAGGAAGGAGTCACTCTTGGCTTTGGGTGTGGTGCTGGGAGCAGTTGCAGCCATTCTGTGATCAGGAGGTCTGGCCGAGCATTTACAGGTGACCCTGCTGCAGGTAGCAGAGCAGAAAGACTGGAAGAACTTGTTGGGTTTGTTTTTCCCCAACTTGTAATTTAGAAAAGTTTAAAATTAATAGAAAAGGTGCAAGGATAACACAATGAATACCCCTACATCCTTCACCTCAATTTACCAGTTGTTAGTATTTGCCCAGTTTGCTTAATTGCTTTATATATGTTTACCTTTGGTTACTGTTTTAGAGATGGTCTCACTCTCGCTAAGTGTAGAGTGTAGTGGCATGGCCACAGCTCACTACAGCCTCTAACTGCTGGGTTCAAGTGATCCTCCTGCCTCAGCTTCCTGAGTAGCTAGCACAGGCATGTGCTGCCACACCCAGCTAATTTTTAAAACATTTTTTTGTTGTTGAGACGGGGTCTCCTTTTTGTTTTGTTTTGTTTTCTTCTAGAGACAGGGTCTCACTATGTTGCCCAGGCTGGAGCTCACTGGCTGTTCACAGGAAGGATCCCACTACTGATCATTGTGGGAGTTTTGACATGCTCTGTTTCTGACCTGGGCCAGTTCGCTCCTCCTTAGGCAACCTAGTGGTTGCCTCCCCCAAGAGGTCATCATATTGATGCCAATCTTAGCCCACTACAGCCCACGTCTCCTGGGCTCAGCAGTCTTCCTGCCTTAGCCTTCCAAAGCACTGAGATTACAGGCATGAGTCACTGTGCCCAGCTTGTTTACGGAACCATTTGAGAGTATGTTACAGATGCTAACGCGGTTCACCGAAAATTCTTCAGCTTGTATAACCTAAGCGGAAGGACAGCCTATACAGCCACAGTCCGGGATTACACGAGAACCTAGGTGTTTGATGATTTTATTGAGCTACCGCTATGTAAAGTCTGCTATAGAAACTCTCAACTGCAGACTTCTTTGTTGTTGTTTTTGTTTTGTTTTTATTTTTATTTATTTATTTTTGAGACGGAGTTTCACTCTTGTTACCCAGGCTGGAGTGCAATGGCACGATCTCGGCTCAC